AAAGAGCTTACCTCTGCCAGGTGACCAGAAGCACCCAGTCTGTCAGTAAGCCTCCTGCCCAAGAGGAGTCAGGTCTCATCATGTGGGTCGCAGCTGCCGCCCCAGCTCACACAGGTCTGGTTCTGCGGCTGTTGCTTCTGTGCTACTGCTGCCTCTTGCCGTCTCAAGTGCTGTGCCTCTCTTTTTCTGTCTCCTAGGCCTAAGAGGTTCTCAGGACAGGGAACTGAGGTCCGGAGGATGTGCTCCACTTCTGATTCTTTTTCTTAATGGCTTTACATTTTGTTCTCCTTTTTGCATGTGTACCTTAGCAGACATTTAAAGGCACAGTTGAAAATGCTAAAAACCCAGTTAAGTGTCAAAGTATTTCTCATCTTCCTGAATCATCTTAACCTAACATTCAGCCCACACGGAATCCACATGAACACACATATTTAGTATGAACGTACATATCAAGTCAAAATGTAATATGAAAAATATGTTAATGTACTGTAATGTTTAGCGTTTTGTTTCTAGCTCCTAGTATAATTATTGACTTGGTAGTTAATATAATTATAAAAGACTTTACATATTAAAAGAATTCTAGACCTCTAAGATTTTTAACACTTTAAAGTATTAAAAGTATCAAAAATTAAAATAAAAGGTGTCACTTGGAAGACGGGGCTGTGCCTGACCTAAGCCATGGTCCTTTTCAGTCACCTCACCTGCATGCAAAACAGCTGGACAGTGACTAAGGAGGGCTGAAGAAGGACTGATGCCTTTGAGTCACGTGGTTGAGGAAGGATGTGCAACACAGCAACAAAACGAAGACAACCTTCAAGGAGAAGAATTCGCCCAGCGGTTCAGACAGAAGATGGGGAAGGTGGCATGCGGCCGGATTTCCTTCGGTGGCACACAGGGTTGCTGCTACGTCATGGCTGACCCACGCCGCCTTCCCTCAAAGAGTTGGAACCACTTGCCCCCCGGCTGCGGTGACCAGGGTCACAGGGCTGTTTGCTGCTGTCACAGGCTCTTCCGGGGAGCTCCCCCATTGCTCACTGCCCAACAAATCCTTCACCTGGCTGCCGACCACACTGCATTATGCACACGGGCCCTCCTGCAGTATGTTGTACACGGTTACCTATACAAACTGTACGAGATTATGTTTACTGAATAAAGTCTCTCTTGTTTCAGAAAGGAGGGTCATGGGGCATGTCAACTGTCCCTGGTACAAAAGCATGGAGCTTCACGGTCCCCAGTGTCACGACTCTGAAACCTGATCACTTCGTAGTCACAGGAGTCTGGCCTGAGAGAAGCAAGGTTTCCATAGCTTTCCCTTAGCAACTGGCAAGGAAGGAACTTCTAGCTGGTGACCCATCCACTGCTGGCACTGATTAGCAGGCTACCATATTTCTTTGAAAAAGGAATGAAGAATGAGCAAATATTTGCTCAGTTAATGCGGGATACTTTCTTCTTACTTTTACAGAAAAACTGCTGAGTTACAGTTGACATAAAATAGTGGCCACGCACCACAGATACATTTAATATCCAAAAAAGCATAATTACCAGTAATCAGGTGTGGCAATGGGCACCATGTTTGTTTGTTTGTTTGTTTGGAGGAGCATTTTCTCTGATACGTGATCTTACCTATGTGATGCAAACCAAGCAAACAGGCAGATAAAGGAAGTTTGACTCTCATTCTAATATGTTTGGGGCAAAAGGCAGCCCGTGGCTTTCCTCAAGCTGACTGCAAATAATTATTTCCTAATACACAGCGATCTCAAAGTTTTCAACAAGCTGGGAGGGATGCTGGGGATCTGTGTAAGGTAAACTAAGACACTGCTTTCTATTCGATGTTATTTAGAAAAACAAGCCAGGCACAGACACGGGACTGTACCTTTTCTTGAACGCACTTTTTCAAATGATAATTTCTTCCACTGTCACCATTAAATCTTAATCCATTCCAGCTCCTTGCATGGGTCATTGAGTCTATATGTACTGCTGTTATTTTTAAATGTTTCCCCTTGGTAGGGAAAGAGGGGGAGAAAAGATGTTGGGAGCCAGATGGGCCTCTTCACAGTTCATTTATCAAACCTAATGCGCAGGACTCCACCCTCCTCACACTCACTAGTGTGGTTAAACTTCCATATAATTTGGTAATCATTTTCATTATCAGAGAGTGACCCGAAAGCAGCCTACTCTGGGCCGTCCAGTCCCTGCAGCTGCTCTTTTTCTGCTTTCTCCTACAGTAGACCCTAAGAACCTCAGAGTTTATTAGCTGCAGACTGACCTCTGAGCTGCAGAGGTCAAGAAGGGGTCAGATCAGAGGGCTTGCCAAGTTCTTTAAAAGCTATAACAAGCTGTCCATCAGGCAGAGTGGACTGTATAAACAAAGCCAAATCTTCAGAAATTCTGTCCCACTTCTGTTAACACTTACCCTGCATTCACACAGCTTCTCCTGATGCACTTCGGATCATTCACCTCGGGGGAAGTGAATAGACAGCCCTAATAAGCCTATTTGGAGAGGGTTGTTTATGGGATTACGGAGCTCGGTGAGGAAACCCCCAGCCTTCAGATGCGCCCCGACAATGGCAGAACTGGGTGACACTGTGACAAACTCACTTACTCCAACTCATGCGAAATGGACACTATCCTCCCAAAGCAAAATCCCAGAGAACATATGCTTTCAGTTTAGAGGCTTCAGAGGGTCCCAAACAATGGCTCGGCTCCTGGCCTGAGTGATCTGAATCCGGTATAACCATGTTACAAGGTTCACTTAGCAAAACTCTCCCTCGCAGCATTATCCCATGCGAAGCTGCTGCCGGGGGAGCACAGGCCCTCGGCTCACAGTAGACCCGAGTGAATGCTAGCTGCGGGGTCTCCATTGACCTAAATTTCTTGAAATTATACTATTCATAATGCATTCTCTAACGTGCAATATACGGTAATTAGAGTCATCTGTATCTAACTTTCAGAGGAGAAAATTTCTATTATCCAATCTAACTGATCCCCCGATAGCTTTGATGAAAGTAAAATACTGTAACCTATTGCCTGGCCTTTGGCGAGTGCTAATTATTTTCTGTCAAAGCACATTTTTCCTCCTGTAATTCCAAGGTACACAATAGGCCAAGCTCTCCGATGCAGAGAGACCAGGAAGCAGGGCAGTCGATGTTTCCTAACTTTCACCACGACGCACTTTATGGCTACTCAAGGCAATGCCCGATTCCAGACGGCCCGATGAGGCTTTGATGAGGCTCAGAAAGGTGTATGGTAACAGTCTGTTTATACAGATCAGATGGACAAGTCCTTTAGATAGGGCACCGGGATGAGAAACATCAAATAGGGGAGGAGGCGTGGTGGGGGAAGGATTATGGTTATTTAATACTCTAAGGACACTTTTCTTTCTGAGCTTTCAAGACACTGCCCTCTTGAAATTTTCTTTCAGGTGTTTAGTTTTAAGTAGGTCTGCACAGTATCAGCTGCTAAGCTCTTCCTTTCCTCCTGCTCGACCACAAAGGACTTAAGAGTTTTTGTTTCAGATGTTAGACTACATCAACTTCAACGCTGGCTCCAGCGCCTGATTAAATAGTTCGCAGCCAGGGCCAGAGAGGCTGAGATGAGACTCCTCTTAAACAGGCCATTTTGGACATGTTGTCTGATGATGCGGTGTATTAGGAAATTATTGTTAGCAAACCGAATGCTCTATACAAAAGACCTCATTCCCAACATTTGGTCTCTCTCTGTGCCGAGCAGACATCGGAGGGATGGGGGATGGGACAGAGATTCCAGGGGAATTTTTTCTTTCTCCTTTCCTATTTAATAAGAATCACCAGGGGGAAAAATATAAAAGGTCAAACAGAGAGAGAGAGCGCACGCAAGCGAGCCAACCCACTAGATGTCCCCACAGTGATACCCATTATTAAGTAAATATGTGTATTCTAATGAATGTACATACTTAAACTAATAGAAATAGAAAATCTAAACTTATTGGAAGCTAAATTGGAAATCATTCAATCACTGGGGTTGAAACTGCCTTCCGTCCACGAGACCACACAAGGAAAAAGGGGCGGAGGGATAACATCATTGGGAATTTTTAAATGATTGTTTGTATGTAAGACTGATAATTTGACAATGTAGCTTGCTAATACCCAATCAAAATGGATAGTTCACACATTTTACTGCCTTCTTTCTTGGGAAACGCTCATCTTCAGCCTTGTTCAGATTAATCTATTTTTATGATCATTGTTACTAGTGAAGCTATCAATTATTGTCGATGCTGTCACATGAACTGATTTGGGGAGCAACATGGCTATCAATAAATGCCTTTATTCCGAGACACTGAGAATTTTTTAAGCATCAAAACATAGCACACTCCTCCTGATTCCTTGCCCTCTTGTTCAGAGACACACAATAATTCAACACGTGTTACACACTATGGATCTAAGAGGTAGATCTGGCCATTTGGGGGGACTAGTGACAGCCTTCCACAGATCACGGCTTTCCAAATGAGAGCAGAACAGGCTGTGTCCCATACAAGCATCATTTCTGGAGAAAAGTGACGGTTTGGAGCAGCTTTCCACCAGTGACTCTGGTGAGTTGAAGAACAAAGAACCTAGGAAATCCCTCCCTGGTCAATTCTGAAAAATGGACTTGGTAAGCAGACCCCTCATCGAGCGGTATCAGAGCACCATTTGGATTGCTCAGTCTGCCCTCGCTAAACTGCAACGCTAGTCATTTAGACGGTGCTGTGAAGGAACTCTTCAACATCAGGCTTGTAGATTACATTAAGCTCAAGATGCAAACATACATGCTACATGATACACGGCGGATTGACCATCCACGTGCCAGCGTGAAGCAGCCGCACAAGCGTGGGAAAGCTGCCTGTGGCTGAAGACACCTTAAACTTGCTTATTTTCCACAAGGCCACCATTGAGAGGCAGGAGACCAGCCAAAGGAAAAGCTTAACCAAATGCAGCTCTTGGTTTAAGAGCAGACAACACATCCAATTCCATAACAGAACTAACCTGGCATGCCATTCCCTCCTCAGGTTCTGCCGCGTAGTGAGAGAGGCCAGGATGGCGGTGAGGATTCCACGCCTTTGTTCCACTGGGAGCCCCTCTCTTCTAACTTCTCGAAGCACAGCATTTGTCTGGAAGAAATTATCCCCAAAAAGGGAACGGAAAAGTGAAAAATTAATAATAAAAAAAAAGCCCATAAGCAAATAAGGACAGTAAATCAATGCCTTTTTTATTACAGTTCCCCTGCTAACAAATCAATACAGTAAATGATGGTCAAAAATGGCCAGCATATATTTTGTATTTAATCAATGTACATGGCACATAGGTAAACCCTAAAGCTCCACTGCCTTAAGTAACACATCAAGAGACTGTGCATTTCACTCTAATTTTCTCAGTACACCAATGATTTTTTTCCCTGTGAATTGCTTACCGTGAGCTATTCTTAGAAATGATTTTCACGTACACTTGACTGTGAGTTGTTTGTTTTGCCGTTCTTAGAAAGACTAGTGTCGGGCTTTCCCTCGCTCTGTTCCCTGCCACGGCGGAGGCTGACCGCTAGGCCTCTCTGATTTGAATCATTAATTGCTTTGTCCAGCCATGCCAGCACTTCTGATTTGTTTGGGGTTTTTTTTTGGTGTGTTTGTGTGTTTGTTCTTTTGGGGGAAGGGGAGCTCACCCCTTTTGTTTGCTTGTTGAAAATCAAGAGACACCCTGAGCACACACGCATTTTCAAAAGCGTCATAGCAATGGACCTGTTTCCAGTGTAGAAATTCCAGAGCCCACAATTATCCTGACATTCCAAATGAAGGAGTCTCAGGGATTCTTCTGCTGGGAGACTAGGAGTTTGGAGAAGCATCACTTATTCTATGGCCATGAGAAAAGCCTTTTCAAGGAATTTACGGAGCTAGGTAAATAAGAAAACGCTCGGCCCTTCTAGCTAGTGTTTGGGAATAATCCCTAGTGCTCTTCTCAAAAGCAGTCGAAGCTCGAGCACATAACATCCCATTTACTCTCATGAAGAGTTACGTGCAACCTAAGATCTGAAACCAGAGTTCCAGTTTTCACCTCCTTCACGGTCCCGTGTGCTCTTTAGGTATGTATATATTTTAAGCACTTAAATATGAAATATTATTTAAAAACCCAAATATTATCATAAAATGTTCAAAGACCTAGAATTAGAAAAACTAAAGGGGAAGAATATGATCATCATGTCTTAAATAGAAAGAACTCAAGAGAAAATTCAAGCCTCGAGTCGCAATGCTGAAAGATTCTATGCGCAAAATATTGAATGATGCAGGAAGGACCAAAGAAAATGGTAAGAATATGGGGAGTCTCTGTACCAAACAGAACTAGTGGAGAGTCCACCGTTTCAGGAGGGAGCATAGGAGCAAGACCCAATGGTGCTGAAGGAAGAAGCACAAGCTGCACTGAAGGCGTTGGCCCAGAACAAGGCTGCAGGGATTAATGGAATGTCAACGGAAATGTTTCCACAAGCCGGTGAAGCACTGGAAGCACGTACTCGTCTCTACCCGGAAATCTGGAAGACAGCAGCTTGGCCAACTGACTGGACGAGATCCATATTTGTACCCATTCCAAATATGCTCAAACATAGAACAATCTTACTGATATCAAACGCAAGCAAGATTTTTCTGGAGATCATCCAACTGCTGCAGTAATTCATTGAGAGCAGGACATTGCCAAGGCATTTCCAGACCAAGGCCAGATTGAGAAGGGGACGTGGAACACTGCTGATGTCAGATGGAGTTTCGTTCAAGGCAGAGAATATCAGAAAGATGTTTACTTTTGTCTTACTGACCATGCCAAGGCACTCACGTGTGTGGATCATAACAAACTATGAATAACCTTGAGAAGAATGGAATTCCAGAACACTTCATTCTGCTCATGCAGGACTTGTATATGGATCTGAAGGAGTTGTACAAACAAAACAAGGGAATACGGCATGATTTAAAATCAGGAGAAGTGTGTGTCAGGGGTGTGTCCTCTGACCATACTTATTCAATCTGTATGCTGAGCAAATCATCAAAGAAACTGGATTACATGGAAAACAATGTGGCATAAGTATTGGAGGAAGGCTTATTAACAGCCTGCAATGTGCTTGCTGAAAGCAAGGAGGCCTTGAAACACTTGCTGAGGAAGATCAAGTATTGCAGCCTTCGGAATGGATGCCAATTCTATGTAGAGAAGATGAAAATTCTCACAACTGGACTGATAGGTCATGATAAAAGGGAAAAAGTTTGAAGTTCTCAAGGATTCTGTCTTGCTTGGAACCACAATCAATGTTCAAGGAAGCATCAATCAAAAGATGATTGGTATTGGGTAAACCTGCTGCACAAGACCTCTTCGGTACAAGAGTACTGAAAAGAGAGGCTGTTTCTTTGAAGGCTAAGGTGCGCCTGACCCAAGCCATAGCATTTTCCATCGCCTCACATGCATGCGAAAGTTGGACACTGAATAAAGATGACTGAAGTAGAATTGATGTGTTTGAATTGTTGTGCTTGCAAAGAATATCGAAAATACCATGGACTGCTAAAAGGACAAATTGATCTGTCTTGGAAGAAGTATGACCAGAGTACTACTTAGAGGCAGGGATGGCAAGGCTTACATACTTTGGACATGTCAAGCGAGGCAATTCTCTGGAGAAGGACATCACGTTTGAGAGAGTGAAGGGGCAGAAAAAAAAAGAAAAAGACCTTCATCGAGATGGATGGACACTGGCTGCACCAACGATCTCAGGCATAGGGGCAATTGTGGAATAAAGTCCTGGCGGTATGCTTCAGTAAAGATTGTAGCCAAGAAAATCATATGGATTTTAGTTCTATTGTCTCTCACACACGAGGTTGCTACCAGTCAATGGCAAAGGGTTCCACTTTTGGTTTATTGTGTGGGGTATTAAAGGACTGATGACCAAGGTGCCCAGGCCATCCTATCAAGGATGTGGTGTCAGCCAACTTGAATCTCTTTTCCAGAACTTTAGACTCTTCAAAGAAAGGAAAAATACTTGGAAGCAATTGGTGCATTTTCTTGATGGTTCTCGGACTATCCCTGGTTTCCTAGGACCCTTCTCTTTTGCTTTGATATTGGCGCTTAAATTCTGAGCACTAGGTTTGTGGAAGGCTATGCTTACAGTGGGAGCACTAAATCTATATTGAGTCTCCACATAAACTCTGCCTCCATTGCATTCTTTCTGACCCTTGAACAGCATTATAAAAGCTTTGCAGAGTGTATTGGCTGTGACCCCCTCACCCCCACCCCCAGCCCAGGCAGCCCAGGGAGGGTCAGTCTCTGCCTCAGAGACTTGCCTGGGCATGCCCTTGGTGGAAATGGGAGTGCCAGGAGACCATGGTTATGTATCATGCCCCCAACTGGTCAGAGAGCCCAAGCCGACCTCACAGACTTTTCTAATCTGCAAGAGTATATGCATCCAAGTCAGTTTCTATAATTGCACCTACAATGCCACCAATCATGTTTTGGGGACAATTTCCTTTGTTTCCATGTTCTATATAAGCAGCCATGTAGCTGTGAATCCTTCCAACACAATTATGGCCTTCCACTCTCCCTCATGCAGATGATTCATTTTTGTCTTTGTCCATTGAAGACTTAATAAATAGGTCTCTATAAAATATATCTGAATTAAGACCTTTTCCCCCTGGGACAGATATTATGAATTACCCGGTATCCTTTCAATAAAACCCTTTGGTGTTGTTGCTCAAAGCCTTCAAGTCGGTTCCTACATACAACCGAATGAATCAACAGGTGGGCCTGGGTCATCCAATACAATCCCATTCTGCCCACATTTACTGGAATCCATGTCTGTTGCTTACAATCAGGAACCATAGCCAATACAAGTAGATAAAGCAGTAAATAAGAGAGACTTGGTACAATAATTCTATTATCTTTTACTTCCATTTTTCCCCAGGCCCCTCAACCTATCCCTCCTGTAAAGGACCCAAGATACCTGGACTAGGGCTAGCCAGGCAAAGGACCTTGCTCTCTGCCCCCTAGGCCATCCTATTTTACTGAAAGATATACCCAGGTGGGCTTGCCGAAGCTTCCATGGTAACAGCATTTGCAGTCCCCTAGCCCAGGGAGGAAAGCTAAGCCTCTCTAGGCAACTCCACAGAAGGAGCTCGGTCTCCAAATGGCTGAAGCAGGGTCTGCAAATTCAAATACCCACTGGCACACGCTGCTAACATGAATGAATGAAGTGGAGGTGACCTCTAAAAACACAGCCACTCTGAACTCGTGTTTCACTTGTACTTGTCCTCCTTTCAGAGCCACTCAGCCCCACCTGTAGACCTGAAGGGTAAGGAATCTCTATGGAGCCCAGGTGGTTAAATGTGGAACGTGAACCACAAGGCACACCGACCAGTCACTTCTCAGGAGAAAGACGAGGCTATCTACTCCCTTTAAGAATCACAGCCTTGCACATCTCATGATTCTCTTTAAAGTGCTGAAGAGCAAGGCTGTCACTTTGAGCAGTAGGGTGCAGCTGACTCACTCACTCATACGCATGCGGAAGTCTGACGCCGAACAAGGAAGCCTGCGGAACTGATCCACCTGAATGATGGTGCTGGAGAACAGTGCTGCAAGTACCACGGATTCCAAAAAAGCGAACAGATGTTGTGGAAGAAGTACAGCCAGAATGCTCTTTAGAAGCTAAGATGGTGAGATTTCATGTCGAGTATTTTGGACATGTTCTCAGGAGAGACTAGTCCCTGGAGAAAAGGACCTCATGCTTGATAGACTAGAAAGGCAACAAAAAAAGGGGAAGAGCCTTGATGAGATGGATTGATGCTGTGGCCGCAACAATGGGCTCAAACATCACGAAGACTGTGAGGATGGGGCAGGACCAGGCAGCATTTTGTGCTGTTGTGTGTGGGGTCGCTAAGGGACCCAGCTCAACGGTACCTAGTAACAACGACATGCCTCTGTGGCAGAGGGTGGTACCATTCAGAAAAGCTAGCTCGATTATGCCAGATTTTCTGCATTCCCAAAATAAACCAGAAAAGGTTTCTACGAAATGTTCTGTCTTGAATATTAGAAACTGTTGAAGCCACTAAGCACTTGGTGGAGAAAGATGAGGCTTTCTGCCCCAGTAAAGACTTACAGC